ATTTTACATAGCATGTGATATGGTAAGCTATTTTCAAATAATCCTTTGGTGATTATTTGAATTGAAAGTTTTTTTACGGAGTTCCGACGTTTATTTTCTGATTATTATAAAAAAATATTTAATAGTTATTTAAATAGTGTCTCAGGTTGACAACCTTGGTGTAGAAGGTTCAATTCTTATTCAATACAGACGTATATATTTACTAGATATTTCATATCTACCTGTTTGTATTGGTTTGGATGTTTTAATATGTCTATCATCGTTTAGTACTCATAGTACAAATTTACTATCAGGTGAGCCACATACCTTTGTGTGTAATATTTTTTTATACTACCTTTTTTACCTCTGTCCTATTCGTGTTTCAATGGTAAAGCAGTTGTGTTTGCATGGCCGTGTTTCGGTTTGAAGGGTGGGATATGGCGTGAATTTACAGGGCGTGAATTTACAGGGTACACAGGCATAACACTTGAGTACTCAGGAATGGAAAATATTAAAAGTATTATCTCCGTTTCAATAATAATAAGAAAATACTGTTTATATATTATGTCTGTTGTAGATACTTTTTTAATTTTCTTCAATACCGATAGATGGCAGTAGTAGTTGCATTACTTTTTTATATTATATTGATTTGATTTTAGACCAAGCAGTAGATTAAAATGTATAATTTGTTGACGAATATTAACAAGAAATTTCGACTTGTATTTATGTCATAATAACTCGCAGAAATCAAGACTGTTTCTATATAACTAGACATTTCAAACAAACTGGAAAGAGTAAACAGAATTCATGAATCTATTTCATGAGATGAGAATGGTTGTTATTTTCCAACAAAGTTTGTAAGCGACTAGTGTTAGAGGATTTTGTTGTTATATTCCAGTAATTTCTATTTAGCGGCACAAGTTGGAATTGTCTTAAAATCCGAAAGTGTCTATGATGATTTTGTAGGTAAAGTTTAATTTAATATTTATTAATTTAATGTTTCTAAAAGAACCGACTTTAAAATATATAATAAGTTTTGTTATAATGAAAAATAAGTTGTTTATAAAAGAAACCAATTATTCTAATTATGTTTTTTTTTTTTTCAATTATTTGGAATGATAAGCGGACGGTTTTCTGGATTAAATGCGGTTACCCTCATTTATAGTATTGAGTGGGGTCATGAACTTCACAGAATACATTGTGGTACCTGTGATAAGTCTTATTTTATCATTTCTGAAATTCAAGGTATTTTCAAAGGCATAATTCATCCTTAAAAACCGAACTATATAAACAATTACTTGCTGGCAAAAACAGCAGAATTTTTTTATAGAAATTGGTTGGTTCATAATTGATATAGATTTTGTCTAACGAATTATGCTGTCGAATCTAACTTTTGGAATCTACCAAACAACTCTTGAACAAATAATATTTTATTTCTTATAATATATTCTCCCCAACGAAGTTATAAGATTTACAGAATATATCATTAAATATTTAAGAAGTTATAGTAACTTATATATAGGTTTCCATTGTGAGAGTTTACGAAGAAAAAATGTTTTCTAACAAATAATATGATAAAGACCTATTTGTTTTGATGCCTATTTCAGAATCATATTTTATTTTATACTAGTACTTACTACTACTTCTTACTTTGTACGTATGAATTTCATAGATTCACTTCATAGATTTTTCTCTCTAGATGCAGTATCAAATTAAAACATATTCAGATATCCTCCAGATTTAAAAATAAACCTTCATAAACACACAGAACTGCAAAACTGCATCCAATTTGGTATAGTAGTTTTTGCTTGATGCCGGAACAGATATACTCGTTCAGACATTTGTCTGTCTGTCACATAGACAATAATCTTAAAAATGTTTTGTAAAGAGTCCATATTTTTTTTAATATCTTCCATGTACACATATCGTCTAGTCACAATTTTATTATATTTGTAAAATAAGATAATAACATTACAAGAAATTAGTGTACCATGGTACTGTATATATATATATATATATATATATATATATATATATATATATATATATATATATATATATATATATATATATACATATATACAGTATATTATTTCTTGTAAATTTATAAATATATGATTACCATTTCCCAAGAGATAGGATAGTCTGTCAAATGGTCATTCTAAGTCATATAAAAGAATTTAACCAAGCTGTATCACAGTAATCATAACAACCCATTAATATCCCACTCTTAAACATGGCTTTTTATAGAAGAAGGACATAAGTATATTTATTTATAGGATTACCAACATAAGATACAGCTAATCATTTCAGTACAATATACTGGTAGATTAGATCTAACTGTTCTTACATTTATAGGCAACCACAGCATGCCTTGTGTTTGATAAATATTAAAATGGAATTAAATTATTAAATGTCATTAAATAAGTAAATATGTTAACAATATGAATAATAACATAATATAAATAATGGAAATTGTAATGTAATTATTTTAAATTATAAATAAATATAATGCAATGGCGAGGTACATCAACATTTTAATTTAGCCATGAACACAGAGTGACTATCGTTGTGAATATCAAGTTCAGGCTTGGTTTTTACAATATCATTATATACACATATTATCCACGTTACTGTCAATAGATGCAGGTGGATCGGGACCATGCCTTATAGTAATTAATGGGAAAAACCTATATTCAATAGTGGTCAGTTAACAGCTAATATGTTGTTATTGAATGTTATTCCTCAAACGCTTAATTTTAATTTTTAACATTACCTATTTGTTATTTCAATTACATTTGATCTAGAAAATATAATTATTAAAATAAATAAATTTAAAGTTTATTTTTTAAGCACATTTTTTATTTTATCGATAAAATTCATCGACCACAGCGCATCACTAATTGTCAGCCTACATAAATCATGACGACATACGCCCTATCTGTTGCCAGCTTAATACGATCTGTGGGGGGATGGAGGGGGTGTTTTTACAGTCCCCAAGCAAAAAGCTGATTCGTAGAAAATATTGTATTATTGTGGACTTTTAACGAATTATTCAGTTTAGGCGAACGCTCGAGGTTTTAAGTAAGTTCAAAAAGAAAAATGTTTTGAGAGCACGCTCTCAATCCGTAAGAATACGTTACGCATTTACGCTACCAAATTTTGAACCGATTTTCACGATTCTTTTTGCATCAACGAGGTTTTTACCCCGTTTTGGTTTCATATTAATTTAATGACGATTAACGCAAATTGTTTATATTCTGCATTTTTTCCAACTCTCTTAAGGTAACGATAAAATAAATGACATGACATTTTGAAATGGTCGTAGATGCAAGATGGCGGACTGAATTATAAAATCTCGTTTTCAAATATTTTTCGAACATTTGTTTAAATGAATTTGTATATCACATTTATGTAATGCACACTCACATACAAATACTGCACACTTTTACATTACTTGTTACTAGAACTTCTAGTAATGCAACATTCATATTGCGTATCTTCATGAAATTTTATGAGTATTTGAATTTATATATCACTTTTATGTAATACACACCCACATACACACACACCATACACACACACATACACACACACACACACACACACACACACACACACACACACACACACACACACAAATACCGCGCACTTTTACATTACTTGTTACTACAACTTCTAGTAATGCGACATTCATATTGCGTATCTCTATTGAATTTTATATTATTAGTATTTGAATTTATACATCACTTTTGTGTAATACACACCCACAAGGGGGAAAGGGATTGTTAGTAATGGAGACTGAGAATCCTATTGCTAGCAATATACCCAACCAGGTCGACCTCCTCGTAGTTCCCCCTGGAAACTATCATGGTTAATTCCTGATGAATTCATCATGATGGGCTAACTGGCCTGTTTTCATTATCATCTATCACCTTTCACTGGTGGAGCGCCAGCGTATCCCGTTAGCGCAGGCGGGGTTACCATACCATTTTCACCCATCAAAAAAAAATACACACCCACATACACACACACACAAACAAATACCGCACACTTTTACATTACTTGTTACTACAACTTCTAGTAATGCGACATTTATTTTGCGTATCTCCATTGAATTTTATATTATGAGTATTTGAATTTATACATCATATTTATATAATACACACACACACACACACACACACAAACATCACACTTGTTACTGTCTATTCGAACTTCTAGTAATGAGATATTCTTATTATGTATTTCCATTGAATTTTATATTGTGAGTACTTACTCTCAAAAATAAGTATAACGTTGTTTGATCTACAAGTTACATATCTGTAATTGGCTAATGTATGGTTTGAATATAATATACTAGCTGTGTATTGCGGCTCTGCGTGTATCACAGTACATAAAGTATCCTATGTACTAAGTTAGGATATAACCTACCCGTGTATCAAATTTCATTTAAATCTGTCCAGTAGTTTTTGCGTGAAAGAGGAATGAACATCCATCCATTCGTTTATCACTAGCTATATCCCGTAGCTCTGTCTACATAAGTTAGTACACAAAGTATCCTATGTACTAAATTAGGATATAACCTAATCGTGTACCAAATTTCATTTAAATCCGTTTATTACTTAATATATACATTCACCTGAACTTAGATTATTTAGATAGAGTGTCTCCATACAAATGCTTTATCAAAAAAACTTTTTCATACAATTTTGCGTCATAAATAATTACGAGTGATTCCCTTTTAACTTCTATATTTATTTTGTCTTATAAATACTGCATCTTTTTAATACGTAAACACTCATTTTATTTATTAAATAGTACATTAAGATACATTGTATGCATACGTATATAGAATATTGGTAAAAAAATGTGTCAGTTAATTTGACAATTAAGTGACAAAAAGTTGACCCCTTTTTGAGGTTCGATGCTCTATCTACATAATCAATTTACTTTAATTACTTCAAATGTAAATAACAGATGTAATAATAAAAAAAAAAATACAATAAATCCTAACTAACCTGTAAGCCATTCGGATTTGTTCTCCATTCTTGTACCAGATTAGCTGAGCAGGTGGGTTGCCTCCTCGACTTCTGCAGACAAGTTCCAGGCTTTGCCCTCTACGGACTGTCTCCCCTTCCGCGTACCCTTCAATGTAGGGCGCTCCAGGGGGATCTGGAATCAAAATATACCATTTACCATTGGTATATAAAGAATGGCCGTGTGGTCCTGGCATAGAATAGGCCACCCATATCTTTCTCTTGGGTGTCGTGAGAGACGATTAAAGAAGGGCGAGGTATGGGCAGCAGCGTCCCTCCTAAAACATCTCCAAAGCCAAACTGCAGTTGCCAATCTGTCTACCAAGCATGGCAAGTAATGGCAAAACCCATTATTATGGTTCATGTTCAACAGTGGATAGTTAAAGTATATGATGATGATGATGATGATGATGATGATGATGATGATGATTATGGAAATATACAAGGTAATTAATAATAAATAAAGGTATACCAGTTTCATCAAGTTTAAACAATAAAATAAAAAAAAATGCTAGTTTTTATTATTATTAATACAAAATCAATGGGGGGAAGGGATTTTTAGTAATGGGGAGTTTAGTCCCCATATACCCTATCAGGTCGACCTCCACGCGGTTCCCCCTGGAAACTATCGTGACCCATTTATCATTGATTTTGTCACAATGGACTAACTGACCTGCCTTTTCATCCTCACCTATCACCGCTCACTGGTACCCCGCTAGTGTATACCGATAGCGCAGGCGGGGTAACCATACCATTTTCGCGCATAAAAAAACACAAAATCAATATATTATACAATAAATGGCAAACAAGCTGACGGCCCACCTGATGTCAAGTGGTAACCGTCGCCTATAGACATGAGCAGTACCCCCCATGCGTTGCCATTCCTGAGGACTCAGGTGTTTTTTCTCTGTACCCAGTAAATTCACGCCATATCCTACCCTTCAAACCGAAACACAGCCATGCAAACACAACTGCTTCACGGTTGAAACACGAATGGGACAGAGGTACTCAAGCAATCGACTTTTGTACAAAGTCTCCCTCTGGTAATATGGAATGTAATTCGATATTCATTAATAGTATGTTAACAAATGTGACGACTAATATTTGTGTCGAACTGAGTTTGTGACGAACATCGTACGTGACAAATAGCGTCTGTAGCGCACTGAGTTCTATGACAAATATTGCATTTGACGAGTTGAGTTTGTGACGAATTTCAAGAATTTTATTTGTGACGTACGTTTGCGATAATTACCAGAGGGAGACTGTGCAAAAGTCGTAAGCTTGGGTACCTCTGTTCCATTCGTGTTTCAACCGTGAAACAGTTGTGTTTGCATGGCTGTGTTTCGGTTTGAAGAGTAGGATATGGTAGTGAGTTTACAGGGTACAGAGTCATAACACCTGAGTCCTCAGGAATGGCAACATATGGGTGGTATCATGGGCGAAACAGCATACTCTGTTACGTCCATAGTACTGCTCATGTCTATAGGCGACGGTTACCACTTTCAATCAGGTGGGTCGTCAGCTTGTTTGCCATTCTGAACTGAGTGTGGGATTAAATATGTTTATATGTAAACATGTTTTTGTTGATATGTTTTGTTGACTCAATACCGTGAAAACAAGAAAGATATTTATATAAATATAATAAGTAAGTATAATTCATTTTATATTAATTTCATCTTACGGAAATCGTTTACAAAATACAAAGTGGGTTACAGTACGACATTGTAATTTTAATAAGTTGGAATTTTCGATTTTAATTAAACTTAAACCATTATAAAGTTCGCTATCTGATCTACCAAATGTTCTGAGGAACTTATGCCCACTTTTAATCTCGACCTCAGGACGCTTTGAGGTGAGATAATAACTAACAGATATCGCTCCGTAAAAGGTAGCAATTCGACCGTGATTAATTTAATATTGATTAATAATCTTACTTATTTATTTATTTATTTTTTATTTTGAGCAAATTACAAAAAATGTTTAGTACAAAAGACGGGCTTAATGCTATATAATATAGATAGATAGATACTCTTTATTGTTTCCTCCAAAAAATTACAATAGTAAACTTATTTTAAATATAAACAATTACAAGAAATAATCACAATGAGAAAACAATGGGCGACCTTATCGCTAATAGCGATCTCTTCCAGGCAACCTTTGGATGGAGAGGAATAATTATAAACAGTTTGATCGGAGGCACATACTCATGCGATCAAGAGATGCACGCCATATCTTTGACTTCTCTATACGACATGGTATCTAGTATTTAAACTTATCTATAAATAAAAATTGTACCTGTAATATATCTATAAAATGGAGAACTACTACGTATTATGAACTTATATGACAGTGTCACAGTATATACTGTGATGTCCATGGTGCATAGTCTTCACGTAATCCATTCAGTAATAAAACAAATTGTAAAATAACTACACTTCGAATCGACATAGCAAATCAAAACTTCACAGTACGCCCTTGAGGAACCAACCGCGACATTAATATTATAACTACGGGACCCTCACATACAATCATAGACAAAACCCTAGGCTTAATGAACTCTAAAAGCAATCTTCGTGCACAGTCGGTCGGAAAAGTGTTTAGCGTTTTTCTTTGTGGGGAAATTTCTTATGAGCTTTCTCCTTTGAGCGGAATGAGGGGCGGCTCTAATAAATTGGGTTTGTAATTTAAAAAATTTAAAACGTTATTTTATTTTAAGTATGCCCTTTTGCGGGCAAAATGAAAGGATTTGTTTGACTTTTGTGCTCGCTTGTACTTTGAGGTCAACTTTTAATGTTTTCAGATAAAACACTTTTGTGCAAACTTTTCGAACACTTAAGTGATTAAAATGTTGGAAAGTGGCTTTTTGCGTGTTTGCCTTCTATTTCTGGATCTTTCTTTAGGTAAGTACTTATAATTTTTAAACAACTTACAAAATGTGCTTCTTAATTATATACTTTTTTTCACATTATAAACGTGGTAAATGAATATATAACCAATCAATATCAATAGGAGCGCCCAGTAACTACGTACAAGCACGTAGACGGCACTTATTCGATGTTCCATTGCAAAGAACAGAGTTGGCTAAGCAGGCTCTCCTATCTCTTGCATTGAAACTACTCAATGTTTTTTTTTATACAACTTAGAATGGCAAACAACCTCACAGCCCACCTGATGTAAAGTGGTAACCGTCGCCTATAGACATGAGCAGTAACATGGACATAACAGAGTATACTGTTTCGCCCAAGATACTCCCCATGCGTTGCCATTCCTGAGGACTCAGGTGTTATTCCTCTGTACCCAGTAAATTCACGCCATATCTCACCCTTCAAACTAAAACACAGCCATGACAACACAACTGCTTCACGGTTGAAACGCGAATGGGATAGAGGTACTCAAGCAATCGACTTTTGTACAAAGTCTCCCTTTGTTATTGTACTCATGCTTTCCTGGGTGAGCGTATTGGAAGACTGTAAGGCTCACCCAGTGGATGTAATAAATAAATAAATATAGAAGAAGTCAGGGAATATTTCATTGAATAACTCATTAATAAGTAGAGAGGATAATACCTAGATATTTTTTTATAGTTTCAAGCTCGATAGATTTTATGTTTATTGTCCATTTGGGGCTGTAGGTTATGAGCCGTTTTCTGTTTGTACTTGTCCCACTGACCTGGAACGTATCGATCTACGATTATAGCCTTTAACTCCTTGTTGCAGAGTTTAATTTTGCTTTTATGTTTATTAAAGATTTGGTGACGTCTGTCTGTCTGGCTTCACGTATAGTCCTTCGAGGTAGAACTGTGTTCTAAAGGGTTTTACCATACACATCTCTTGGTACATCTGTGCTTACTACTGCCCTCATATATCAACGCTAGTTCTGGATATTTATGTCTTCTTCCTAAGACAATATGTGATCTGATCATGTGATCATCAACATCATATTTGGCTTTAACTGTCCACTGCTGAGCATAAATCTCCCCCTTGGGGGGTTCTGCCAATAGTTACCATGCTTGGCAGGCGAATTAGCAAACGAAATTAGGCTTTAGAGATATTTTAAGAAGGATACTACTGCTCATGCCTCGTCCTCCTTTAGTCGGCTCTTACGGGACAAACGGGATAGGAAGGAGTGGCCTATTCTATGCCGGGACCACACGGCCCAATAAATTCAATATTCACCAGTAATCTCAACATTATTATTTTAAATTATACAGTATTTTATATGTTTCGCCATCTCTTCATCTTCTCCACATGCTTGAACAGACGTAGCACATTACCAGAAATAGTAACCCCAGATTAAATATATCTAGATAGCAACACAAAACGTACAGAACGAGTAATGTATATGAAACTTTCAGTACGAATCGCGTGCCCGTGTCGTACATATGGACCGACATACGCTCTGTTATGTAGTAATTAAACACGCATTGTTGCTAGCATGTGTTGTCCGCACGTCACACCGTAACGTAAGGCGACTTCGGGGACGAAGAGCAACGCTGTATGCGTATCGTCACAGGAAGGGCTTGATAACATATAGTAATATCTATATATTTTAGTTATCCAAAATCTAATATTGGATAACAGACTTTTAACATGTTCGAAAATAGATATTTGACCGATATGGGCGATATCGGAATGCGTGATGACCTTTCTTCCGCCATCAATGTCTAGAGGAATCCAATATATATTAGGTCGGTATACATATTACCCATGTCTAATCACAGGTTTTATTTTTTATAACCCGCTAAGTTTATTATGCCTCAAATTCAATTTCAAATCATCTCTATTAAAATAGATAAGCTTTTTTAAAACATCGTCTTTTATGATTATACTGCTGGGTTTGGAATATTGTTATTTATTATTTATTTTATTAATTTCAAAATTATAATGTAAATATTGACTTGCCATTGTGTGACGAAAATTGTTACATTGGTTAATAAAGAAATATGAATATGAATGTTATCTGCTGAGAAGAACCTGTAAGAAACTAAAAATCATCTTTCAGTCATCTCTCGTATAAAGCGTGATAAACAGGATGATAACTGATTGATTAGTTTGTTTAAAGTGGAGGTTTTATTTACCAGATGGAGACTTTGTACAAAAGTCGATTGCTTGGGTACCTCTGTCCCATTCGTGTTTT